TTCTGCGCAAAGTGCTGTAAATGACAGATAAGAAGGAAGGACCTGGTGGTTTGAAGGTGAGTTTCCAAGTGAATGTATTCTGCTTGTAGTTATGTAATTATGCAAATGGGTGGGAGTTTCATAACCCCTCCTGGTTTACTTAGGTGGAGACTTGACTTGTTTCCAACAAGTGATAGTGAAGGTTTTTGTGAGAGACATTGTTCGCATCCTAACGCTATCCATTGTATACGATACATTAATGAAGCTAACAACGCATACATTTTGAGTATCACTTTAGCTAGTTTACTTCGAAATAAAACATTTGAAATTGAGCAAGTATAAGGTGCTAAAACTTGGAAACTCGTATTCCAAAGTTGGTGGGACGGCCTCTGAATACATCATCTGCGCAAAATCAAACGCGGACGTTCCAGTCAGTGCGGCTTCTGTGCAAAGAGCGCGGCAATTTTATTGCAATATTAGGTCGGTTACCACTTCGTAGCAAAGTCAAAGATTTTATATTGGCGTTACACGCTTTGTATGAGTCAGAGTGCCCGTAAGCCAAGATATGCAATAGCGACATGCAGATAACAAAAGCGAGAAGCCAATTATCCATAAAAGTTGGCGATATATCTCATTAAGCGTAAGTTACTGGACATATGCAGCGTCTACATTCTTTGTCATAAGATCGTGATATCGCTGTAATAATCTGCAGCGGGGCTACCGTAGCTTTGTGCTTTGAGGAAGCGTAAGTTAGGTCACCGACCTTTCTTTCTATGCTTAGAATAAGTACGAGTTAGCGGATCGCAATCCGCTTACTCCAAATGTAATTATTGCCTTACCCAAGGCTAATTAGCTCTTTCGTTTAAAATCCAAACTGATTTTTATTTACTTTTTATCCTAATTCTAAAAATTTATTTTTTCTAAATATACTAAATATATATAGTAAAATCTAAATACACGCATAACTACTGCATGCACATCTCGTGTGATACACACCGCTGTTACCAGGCACCTGTAACCCCGTTATATACAACCTAAATCAAGGCTTATTGAATCTTCCGTTGGAAACGTAAACTGTAATTTTTGCGGCACAGCCGCCTACATCTAAATCTATAAATTTTCCTGTCTATGTAGTAAAACCTGATTAAATGTATAACTACTGGCTGTTCCAGCCACGTACTGACTTCTTGTTTAAGTGTAGCCACGCCATTATGTGACTCGCACCCTCCCTACCAGCCCCTCGTTACACCAAGTATAATGTGAATTTTTTCACAAGTGTGTTAAAATGTGTAAGGGTAATTGACCCTTTACACAGAATGTTTGTTTTTTTACCTCGGCAAATTACTGATATGTGTAACTCCATAAAATTGATATGTTTTTACTTCTGTGGTTATTTGATATCTGTTCTCATTCAATAAAATAGAAAACCAACAAAGAATCTGATTACAACAGTTTAGCGTAATATACTGCTGCCCCTCGTTTTGCAGGCTATTTACTCTGTTTTATCATTTTATTTCTTTTTGCTGCGAGAAAATATGTTATTCTGATATTTTCTTAAGACATTATTTCGTTAGTGCAATATTCAAAAACCAATGTTGCGCAACGTAATGCATTGGGTATTACGTTGCGATAAGGGGGAGTGCCTTCATCCGCCCATATTTTCCGATCGGTTGAGCCCAAACAGTTTTCTGGTACATCTATTTCAATGCTTGGCCGCAACGCTCTTCGTAAGGCTGCGCTCAGCTCATCAAAGCTTCAATATGTAAAAACGCTTCGCCCAATGAGCTTTCACTCCACAGGAAGTGTACGCAAGGATGAAGCTCAGGCGGAGGAGATTCCAGTGCCGACGCAGGGCTTACTGGATCAAGCTGGCCTGACGGACTGGAAGATTTCGGCCCCAATTATCGGTGCCCTGGCCATCCCCGCTATCTCGAACCATGTAAGGATTAGTCCAATAGCGGCTTAAATTGCCATCGAATTTTCAATATTTTGTATTTGAAATAGTTTTACGTTCTCAATGAAGAGTCGCAATTAGCCTGCTGCTTCCTGCTCTTCTGCACGGCTACTTACAAGTTTGGCGGTGAAATGATCGCTTCGTACTTTGATGAACGCGCAGCTGCTATTTTAAGGTGAGAATGGTGACTTACAAGAAAATTTTCAAGAACAAAGCGTAACTCTGATTGTTTTGTGGTAGCGAGCACAATGCAGTGGAAGATGCGAACCTGGCCTTAGCAAAGGAAACGCTTGAAACTCACAAGTCAATGCTTAACATCCACGAGGATATTGCTGCCGTTGCCGAGGCTCACAAGGAAGCTATAGCTCTTATGTGCAAAGTGCAAGCTTACAAATTGCGCCACAAGACGCGTGACACCTTTGTCAAAAATCTTGAGTCTATCCGCCAAATTGAAAGCAGTTACAAACTGGAGCTGCAAAGATGCATGGTAGCTTCCGCCACTTCGAAGGTTCGCACCGTCGTCCAAAAGGGCGACAAGAAGCTCAAGGAGACCGCTTTCAGACACGCTCTGGACATTTTAGGTAACGTCGACGTGGACGAAAGTAAGGAGGATGACGTAGCTGCTCTTTTTTCCAAGGAGTTGCGTGCGTACGCGTCTGACTTGGAATCTAAGCAGGGCCAAGTGATCAAGCTGTCGACCGAAGAACAAAGCGAGCTGCAGGCTGACTTGGACGCCTACATGAAGCGCTTCGATCTAGAGGATGCCAACTTTAAGGCTCCAAAGGAAGTTAAGCTTGAGCTTATGTAAACCACAACAAAGTGTTTGCGAGAAAAATGAGTAATGAGATCACTCAGCTTAAGCATAAAATCTGATGTCTTTGAGTTGTAAACCCTACGCTCGTCTATGCGATCCGTGTAGCTACTGTCAGAATTTGTCGCATTTACTTAAGTAAAATGTCAATTGTCACTCAGTAACATGGTCAAGTCTTTTAACCTCGCCTGAGATAAAAACTGAGTTTGTCTTGAGATGTATATCACAAAAGCCTATAGCCTTATGGGCGTTGAAGTGATATCGTTCACAAGTATCGAAATTGACAAATGCACGCTTAAGCATACCCTGTCATCGGCTATCAAACAGAACGTCATGTGGGATTCATAGCCTCAAGTTTGCGGTGAGTAGCTGAAGTATTGATCCACCTGACAGCTTAAGCTTCCCATCACATGATGTACAAGATGCCCACAAAATGAGGTTTCTAGTAGGTCGATTGGGAAGCCACTCATTTTCTCAAAATATATTACACGATTGGGCATTCTTTCTTAACCATCAGTATGTATCCATGATAGAGGTATGTATTTCGATCACTTTTGAAATTCGGCTAAGAACAGATCTGCTTTTAGCCTTCGCTGCCAAACATTTCAATTGATTTGGGACTAGCTTGATTGCCAGAATGACCTCAACAACCGTATAGATCATCTTAAACGAGCGGTGTTAACTACTTGTTCAAATTATTTGATACAGCTGTAGCAATACGGCGCTATTAACGATGGCGTTTCATGTCGTCAAAAAACCCAGGTCTTGCGATCCGTACTCCACCATGATTGCCACACGCAGTTTCTCGCGTTGATCCGGTCCCACCCTGGCCTACACTCCCATCGACTACATCCCAATAAGCATCTCGTACACTTTGTGGTGGATTTTCATTCATCCCACCAGGCGAAATGACTTTACCCGATTCAACACGAATACTTTTCGCGACCAAGAGATCAGTATTTACATAGCTAGATCCTCCGCCACCTCCTCCGGCAATTCCCGGCGAAAATCCCCCGCCGCCCCCACCAAAAAGCCCTCCACCTCCACCTCCTCCAAATTCAGCACCATCACCACCAAGCATCGATGATCCATTTTTACCAACAAATTTGCAGATAGGATTGTACTCATCGCACATTCCAGCAGCTCCACCAGCAGCATTTTCACCCGGACGACCACAACGAATGTCATCACCTGCTTGACTTAATTTACCATCGCGCGTACCACCTCCCCCTCCGCTTCGACACGTACCTCCTCCACCTCCACCCCCAGCAACTAAGATATATTCGATTCCATAAGCGCCTTTGCGAAAAATACTCGTAAAGCCTCCTCCACCACCACAGGCCGATTCCTTATTGCCACTATGTCCACAACCGCCACCAGGATGTCCCCCCATTGCTGTAGACACTTGAGCGGAGACAAGAACGCCACCAGGTACTTTTTTGCTCTTCTCGCCAATCTGAAAATCATATCTCTCATCATCTGGTTGCTCAACCATACGAGCAAATTTGCCCCCAGCGCCTCCTGACCCAATTGAAAAGTAAAGTATTTCTCCGGAATAGACCGGGCAGATTCCTTCAACAAACGCGCCGCCACCACCGTGGCCTACAAAATGATTGCGCAAGAGTCCACTACCACCTCCTGCACCCCAAGCTTGAAGCTTTAGCTGCTTTACGTCACGAGGGACCTTGTATTCGTGCACTGCAGCAGTCACAAAGTTAGATATTCCAGACGATAGCAAGTGGGCACGACGGTGATTTTTACGTTCGTTTGCCAAAATCATCGCGTCACATTTGGGCCACGTACACTTAACCTTACGTAATTCACAATCATCTTCTTCATGAGCGATACGTATCTGTTCCAGAGTTAGCAGCTCATTTGATCCTCCTCGATACACTTGGCCGCATCCCAGTCGACAATGTAAATTTCCAGCGGGCCTTTTGACACACAGATTTTTGAAATGCGACTCCTCCAATTCAAAGTGTGGTAACCACACCCCACATTCTCGCGGGCAAAACACGATACGATGTGAGCATTGCTCATTGTTCTCAGACTCGTGATCATATATAACCTCGCGCCACTGCTGGTGCTCCATAATTTGTGAGCAACCTAAGCGGCAAATCATAAGCCTTCGTGGACATTCCGCACACTCGTGTCGTTCGAGAGTAAGCCCACGTGGAAGCCATACTTCGCAACCCCAGCGACACAGTGCTAGTCCCAAACGAAAACGCTCTTCAGTACGCGTCAATATTCGACTGACACGACGCCGCTCTCGTATCGCAGGCTTGTCGTCAGTGTCCTCAAGCCTAGCGTTCTCAAGCTCAGCCACATTCAGGTCATCCTCTATCTCCTCGCTTCGTTTACTTACAAGCCAGGTATCCTTGCGTGCTGGATCAATTGAGGTCAGTAAATTATTTTTTCTAGCCCAGATGTAGACTTTGCGCTCTTGACGGAATCGCGTGTCGACATACGTCGGGCTTCTACACCTTGTATTTTTACCGTCTTCGATCGTGTGCTTCTCGTATAAATTTTGATAACTTTTGGCTTCCGCATGAAAATCGTCATACTGAGTTGATAGATGCTCCATAGTGACACTGGCTTTCAAATGACGCAAAGTAGATTCGAGCTCTTCATCCTCTTGGTGTTGCTGCGCTGATGCCTTGAGATTGACTTCGCTTGCAATTTGAGAATCTCTGTCGTGTTTACGGGCTCGTTGCAGCGCTAGTTTCCATTCTTCTTCCTCTTGATGGCGACGTAATTCTTCAATCGAGGTAACAGCCTTTTCTTGAAGCTTTGGAAGTCGAATTTGATCCAGAAACGCCTTTGTTACAGTTGTGTCATCTACCCAGTCTCCAGATAGTTCATTATAGTAATAAGTATATGATGTCTGTGGATCATGATAGTGATGCCAGCCTCGATCATGAACTTCAATCACTTCGCTACGATCTGAAATCAAGACATGAGCATATCGGTAACTTTCATGCAAAAGCACTTCCTCGGGTTTTTCAACAAAAATTCGGTTGTCAAGAGTGTTGAGGTAAAATGTGATACCACCGAATCCCACACATTCACGCCAGCTCCCAAGCATTCGGCCTTTCACAGCATCTTCAACAATTGCTGCAGATGCGAACCCAGAAAACTGAATAGTAAGGCTAGCTTGGTCTGACTCATCTTTGAGCTGTTCTGCACTCTCAAAAATTCGTTTTGTCCGCCAATCCTGAACTGATAACCCCTCGGGTAACACCCACTGACAAATCTTTGTATCGCGATTAAAAAAGAAGTTAATGTCAGTGCCGTTAATGCAATAGAGTTCCCACTCTGGATGCAGCTGATTGCGTTCAGTGAAGCGAGCATTCATCCCCATCTTTTCTTTCCAGCCAAGCTGAGTGCGACCTTCTTCTACGAGCTGAGCTGGCACCTGACGCTGAACAAATCCACTTTGAATATGCTCAAAGACAGTATTTTGGCTTTGTGGCTCTTTGTGGACAATCCAGACAGCGCCATGAGCCACGGCCATACTATTCTTCTCCTGAACATGCTTGTGCATACGATTTAAGGTCTCCGGTTTGTTAAATTCTTTAGCCACTCGATTTATTTCCTCAAGCCAAGCTTTTCGGCGAAGAGTAAGACGTTTCTTGTCACGATTTTCTTTGTTCGTATGACCACGCTTTATTCGCTGCTGTAGTATGCTACACTCCATTTTCGCATCTCCTTTCGGACTACCCGGTCGACCTCGACAAGCTAACAAAAGCTGAATGGGAGTCTGACTACTGTGATCTAGTGAGAACGGACTACTTCCATGTCTTTCTGCAAGACACTGAATCACCCTTTCATGAGTACACACCAAATTTTCATCACATGCTAAGTGCAATGCCGTGCGACCCTGGAGATTCGCTTGGTGCTTGTACACATCTCGCAGATACGTATCTAAAAAGAAACCCATCTCAGATAACGACAGCCAGTCTGCCAAATTGCCTTCCTTGCAGTGTCTTGCTTGTTTTCTGTTTGAGTCTCTCTTGTTCTCATTTCCGTCGGCTTCACGAATGCCACTATTTAAAAGCTTTGAATGATATTGCAAAATAAGGTAGTCCATGAATGGTTTTTGTGGAGCTGGCATCTTGCAAAATCGAGAATCGTCCGATTTTTCATTCAAAATCTCCTTGTGTAGCCATTGTACGGATTCAAACAACCACGTATAGTGATATCGACGAGTTTCATTTTCCTGCAATTTGTTGTCCATAGTGATTTCGTACGCATTTTGCAGCAGTTGCTTGTAGCAAACGCCACGTCGTTGCGGTAGATTCGTAATGAATAATCGGAAAGCGTCATCGTGTGCGCGTAGCAGTTGTGAGGTGATTGTCGAGCTTCCACTGAACGCAGCCCAATGCAGACCTGAGTTCTTTAAGTTATCTAGCTGATATATGTCAGCATTATTCTCCAGCAGTAGAGCCGCTGTTTCGCTGTGACCAGATCGTGCAGCAACCATCAATGGAGTGCGATGAAACGAATCAAGCTGATCGACATGAGCGCCATGCTTAAGCAGCAGCTTTGCAATTGAGCCGAAACCGTTTTTGCAAGCGATATGCAGCGGCGATTGCTTCAAGTTAGTAGCGACATCAAGCAGAGAAGCATTCACGTCTTGCCCACCAAAAACAAATAGCTCAATTTCGTGCAAGATACCTTGTTCCAGAACGTGCAAAAAAGAGAATGGTTTTGACACTGTAGTACAAAGAGATGTAGCACCGTTGCTGCAACAGTCGTCGCGGCTTTTAAAAGTGCGAAGAAGCCGCTGAGTGAACAGAGGATTTTTTTTCGAGTTAAAACCTTGCGCCACCAGCTCGTTTAAAACAAAAGTACCATCAATTCCTCGATCAAGCTCCTGTTGGCACCAGAAAGCCCACTGAGGGTGCAGCACTTGCACTGTAGATGACGGTAGTTTCTCCACTTTAGAGATATTACGCTTTGTGCGCGGTGACGTGCCAGGGGATTCCAGATTCGGAGTGTCAGAACTGTTTAGTACATAAGATTTGGTGGATTCAGTTCCGTAAATACTACTTGGTGCGTTTCGCTGTAGCCGAACAGTAGCAACCAGGACGAGTTAGCTATAGATACAATACTTGTGGCCAAAAACATGCATAGCTATCATGTCCGCACCTTAGTCCGTAGTCGATATGATGATGCCCTAGTCGAGATCTTTTGCATTATAGCCAGGTTTGTTGTCAACCTGAATCCTTTCTTAACCAATGTTTGCATTAATTTCTTGAGACTAGCTCCTCTCTCTATGTTATCAAACAACCATTTTTCCCACTGCTCGGGAAGTTCTCCTGGTGGACCGACCAGCCCAGGTGGCAAATTTTGAATCTTCTTCAGTGCAATTTTTGCAGCATTAAACTTGGCTTCTCGTATTGTTGCACCTGTAGCTTTGATAGAATCTCTGCCCGCCGGACCGCATACTTTGCCCACAAGCTCCAGCTGCATCTGAAACCTCTCAGACAGCTGATCAATGGATGCTGCATCCTCTTCATTATCATTCAAAAGCAAATACTCAACCTGTAAATTGTATCTGGCTGCTTCCCGTTCCAGTAGCGCTAATGGCGTTGTGTTTAATGCATCCAGAAGCTTTTCCAGCGCCTTAAACTTTACGTTGCCGGACTGAAGCTGGATGATCATCTGCACAACCTCGGCATAGTCTAAGAGGCCATCACCATTGGCATCAATGTTAGCCACAAGAGCGTCAATCTCCGCAGCGCTAATCTGGAGCCCCATGCGGGTCAGCAATGCACGAAATTCTCGCTCGTCAATAGTTCCGCTTTCATCAGTGTCGCTGATGCGGAACTGAGCAGCCAGCTCTTCGGCTTGAGTAGCCGTTAAATCAGAGCGAGACTTTAGATGAAGCTCATTGGAAGGATTGCAGGCAGGTTGTGCCATGCGGGTTGAAGCTGACATGTTTAAGCGACGCGGTAACCATCACTCTGACAAAAGCAATTTTATTTGTCTTAAGTTCGATAAGAAAAAATGGCGCTAAATGCAAAGGGACGAGAGTTGCTGCGCGAACTTCAGCGCAGTGACTGGCTGCCACCATACAATGTGGGACTTAATAGCTGGTAATATCCGCAACGTCGGCTGCTAATTAGTGACGTTTGGTATTGCGTAGGAAGACTTAGTGCGGCAGGTAGTGGAGGAGTCGGGGCTGTTGGATGAGGAGATTGCCCGGAAGATGGCGTATAGCTTGCTTTCTAGATTGTGGATGAGATACCAAACATTAGCTGCTGATATCTTGCTGCTACTTATACTGGACAGTACCTTTGAAGACAACCTAGCTGAGCACATGGCCGTACAGTGTGGCCTAGTCATCAATCATCAAAGTCTTTTACGAAACAAGCGCTGTCTCATCGCCTACATGTGGGTGGATCGATTACTTAGTATTTTAAAAGTGTCAGAAAGGATTGGGCTCACGATATTGCGCCTGCAGACATTATCGTATGAAAAAGATTAAGGCACTTCGGTGGGAAGTAGGCACCATCATACCGTCCCAACTAGCCCAGAAGTGAGAAATTTATGATATCTGGATTAGACATACGTGTATCGATGACTGACTCTTGATGCAGCCTTGGTCAGCGCGAAATACAATTCTTCAATCAGTACGACCAACTTTTGACAGACTATATGGCCAATTTCGAGCTCGACTTATCAGCTGTACAAGACTGCACCGTAATTTGTGGCTGTCGCTATCTCATTTCTAATCCCTCCATTGATTTTCAGGATTTGAAGCCACCAAAGGACTTGTACGTAGAAGTGCGCGTCCTGCGCGACTGCGGCGAGGTCATGACTGAAAGCGGATTAGTAAACTTAGAAGCTCATTCACAACACTTTCTGCGACGCGTAGACGTAGAGCAGTTGATCCGCCAGGGACTGCTGGAACAAATTAAGCGTTGAGTCTTTCCAACATTATCTTGATAGAATAGAGTCTTTCCTTGACCTAGAGTGTAGTAATCGATTCGTTGTCCCCTCGTTTCTTAGGATCGTTCTCAAACTGACGATAACTTTTGCTTTACATATAAGCCAATCAGCGATCGACAGACGTAAACCATCGCGTTTCCGGGTCAACTTCAGTTTCGAAATGGCCGACGAGAACACCACCGAGAAGAGACTTCAGGGTAGCCCCCAACATACTCCAGCAAAGAAGAGCTTGAGCTTCTTGCTACTTGCCTTATCACCTGTAGCTGTGGCGCTCGCCGCAATTTGTGTTAGGTACGCAAATGTGCCGTTTAATACAGACGGCTGGCAGGGTCTCGTGGACCAGGTCTCGCTCTTTGGAGGCAAACCCAGTCTTGTCGACTGGAATCCAGACAATGTAAGAGACAAATATACGACAGATTTAGTCGATCTGCAGGTTCGCCAACTTGTGACTGATTTTCATTGCAGCGATACAAACTACACGGCCGAAATTTTATTTGACGGGAAAGTCTTTCCCATCGCAGAACCGATGGAAGCGGAAACGTTTATGGGCAACGGCCAAGTCTTTCTCATGCTCAACGGCGCAAACGATGGTGTGTATGTGTCTTGGAATGGAAAATTTGAGTGCATTGGGCAGCCAGCCGAACTGGCTGCAGCATTTCTTGGAGCAGACCGAGATGTAATGGCAAATGGCGTGCGGCTTTACAATCAGCTGGGATATCCTGTTCGCGATGGGAATGAATTGCGCAAAACAAGGAATATTGTTCATGTGTTACTAGACTTTGAATTGTGGCAGTGGCCAGGTATTAAAAAAGGCTATAAGTACTTACTGGAGAACGGTGTCACGCTAACAATGGTGGGAATCAGTCCTAAAGTATTTGACGTCGAGTTTTTTCTTACCCAAGAAGAGGCGGACAAGGTCATTGAGATTGGATTGCCGAAGTTGGATCGATCCAAGGTTGACGGGACCAACTCATCTAAAGTTGTATCTGAATCACGCACGAGCCACACAGCATTTTTGCCTGACAGTTTGTTTGTACGCGATTTTCAGAAGCGCTCGGCTCAAGTTGCTCGGCTCCCAAGTCCATCTTACGTAGAACGCATGCAGCTTGTGCGTTACGGTGCTGGAGAGTTTTATCGCCAGCACTTTGACACATTCCACTCACGTAAATTTTTACCAAAAGGAAGTGATTCATATGCGTTTGAAGATTATGTGGAGTGGACTAAAGTAGCTGCGGAAAAGCTTCGCAGTTTGGACCAGAACAAGGTGCCTGAAAAGTTTCGCGAAGGTGGTTTGCTGTTCCCGAATGCCGAAGATTCGAAGAGTTTTCCAAATGCGTTGCTTGAGCTATTCTATGACCATATGAACAAGACGAACAGATTCAAGGCGTTGTTTGATACCGACCAAGCGAAGTGGATCCGCACAAATTTAGATGACGGGGCTGAGAATGTGATGAACGACTTGATGAATGAGAAGAGGCGCCCTAAATACCTTCCACACATCATCCAGGCATGGGAAGAGGAACTTGGCCTTGGCGAATTGTGCTATACATTTCCCAAAAAAAATATGAATTCCGTTACACACTTTTTTCGATGGGTTCGTTGGGCAAAGGAACGCATCAGTTATCTTGGCGATAAGGCGCCAGCTGTGGCCCAACCTGGAGGAGAGCTGTACCCAAAGTTCACAGTACCATTCCAAGAAAAGCTCACAGGCTTCATTCTTGATGACTATACAAAGGGCTATATCGCGAGCATGACCAATTTAGAATGGTACGATTGGATGGTGGAAAATCGCGGCCGTAATCATGTTCTTTTTCAAGTCATGCAGGCTTGGCCAAGTTTTGCAGAGCTGGCGATTCGCACATGGGAAGCACGCGTCGGTTACGCACCAGAGCTGCGCTACAAGCTGCCACATTACGCACCGCATTTTCACCCACAACGCTTTGTCACCCTTTTCCTATATTTGAATAACCAGACTAAAGTTGGTGGTGAGACCGTTTTTCCTTTCTCATTAGACCGTTACTCCGATGAAAGGATCGAGCGCGATGGCATGAATGAGTGTTCTACAGGTTTGGCGGTGCCTCCGCTTGGTCTACACGCTTCGCTATTCTACGTCCAGACTCCAAAAGGAGTTCCTGATGATATGAGCCGCCACGGTGGCTGCCCTCCTCAAGAAGGAGTCAAGTGGGGTGCAAACTCGTTCATGTGGGACTCAGATTCCGAAGAAGGCGCTAATTTGTGGACCACGAAGTAGAACACGGCTTGGTATTCGTGTACAAAGTAGTATAGTGATATCATCGGTTGTCACTTAACAATGTGCTGTACAAATTTTTCTTTGCTATCGACTATTGAGAATTGGATTTCATGCAATTTTTCAATGAAAAATGAAATTTCTTAATATGCTTTCCTTGTGGTAGAAATGTTAGATGTAATTATTTTGTTGAGCGTTGCTAAAACTAGCCAATAGCATTAGTAAATTCGAAAAATTAACTTGTAGTGGTCGACATGAACGTATGAGTAGTTGCCGGCTACTACGCAAGTCAAATCTCCAGAAGTACTCCCCAACTCCCAGCCCACCGCTCCAGTCGTTTATCCCCTTTTCTGAAGATGAAATATCCAGCTGCTTCCGCCTCCCCATCCCCGCCGACCAACCCCCTCACGCTGTGATTGGCTTGACTCCTGGGTCCGCACCCAGTATCCAGTCGGGTACCACGGTCGGCCCATCTTGCTCGGATCCCTACGCCGGCTCCGGACCTCCAACTGGCTCTTTGCCAGCCACTCATCTGACCATGCTGTCGTCCCCTCCTCTTCTCCCGTTGCCTCCTCCGTCTACGTTTCCAGCTCTGACGGCCGTTGTGCCTGCTGATGCGGTCGACCCCGACGTCGAGCTAATAGACGCGACCCCAAACGCTGCCAACTTGCCTCG